ACAGCCTTGGAGCAGAACACCTGCCCATATTCATGTAGTTCTGACAATAGAATGACATCAACAGGTAATCACACTTCTGTAAAGTTCTGGCCATTGGAGAAAAATGTGCTCTTTTGTCTGATGATGAGAATTTGGTCACATGAGAGCATATCGACCAATCGGCTTCTCCCATCACAACCACCGTCCTGCTGAACAGATTTTAGATTAATTTTGATTTGAATGGTCGTTCATACAGGACCACTGTCTTGTATGAACTGCCCCACAACTCGAGAACAACTGTCACTAGAGTTCAAACAGATGCTTGCTGGATCATCTGAAAGCATCTGAAACACCCTCCAAACACACTTTTCCAGCATTAAGAGCAGCTGCTTCCCACATTGGTGCAGTTCAGCGACCACGTCTGCTTCATGCAGCGATGGTCCAGGTGTTTGAGGACAACACATGCCAGAACTCACTTCCAGCTGTTCTGTTTCATTGCTTAGAAAACGACTTTTGGAGCATCACTGAGTGAAACAGCGTGGATGCCTGTGAGGAGAGACTGTTGTAGGAATCACTGCATCGCTGCCTTTGAGCGTCTCTGTTTGGAACATAGAAACAGTTTATTCCAAGCATACCTTACTAATGGTGTGCATGTGGTTTGTTTTGTGAACTGAGGGCTAATGGAGATCTGGGTGGCACCGTACCAGGCCCTAGTCTGCTTCACCAGCACCGTGTGGGCTCAAACAGCTCCTTTAAATATGTGTGTGAGGTTTAAATACATCATCTGGAGCAGTTAGAAGTCAGTGTGCGAGCGTGTTGCTGCCTCTCCGCGGCCTGCCAGCCTCCCGTGCCTCAGACCAATCAGCTGCTGCCACACGCAGAGAGAAAACAGCCTCCAGGTGTTTTCCCCCTGCTGGAAGCAGCGGTGGGATGCTTACTGGTGGGCCGCGGCGTCAGGGTGGACTAGAAAGGTACTCTGGGTCTTTTCCATGAGTCAGGTTGTCAGTGATGAATTGCACAGGGCAGGGCAGCAGTAGGGGAGGGAATGAGTGGGCTTGTTCTCCTTCAAGTGGATGTGACTGAGGAAAATTACCATATTTAGTCTCTGGTAATTGGCTGGTGTTGACATTTATGGTTCTCAAGAATTTAGGTCTCATGGATTGGAGGTGATGTTGGCTGTTTGTGTGCAGCTCGTGTCGTGAGATGCATGTTTGCCGTCTCCGTCGCAGGTGTTGCGATGCATGCACGAGGCACAAACCGATGCCTGCGCTTACCAAACGAGCTCTTTGTAACCTTCTCACAACTCGTACTGTAGATAGAAGTGAGCGCAGCCCATTTGTCTCCTCTGGATTCCATGGCAACAGCTGAAAATGTGGACAGAGAGAGAAGCATCACTTTAACCCTGCTGAAAATCACAGCTATCCCTTCAATAACCGCAGAACCATTCAGTGAGATTACCTGCCGTATGAGTTCGCTACTCCTCCGTAGTCCCCTCCCGGTTCCTCTTTCATGGAGTCAGAGCTGCACAGTCAGCCGTTATGAAACCACTTCGCTGATCACGTATATTTAGAAACACTGTAAAGCAACTTGGTCGCAGAAAAGCTGCTGTTTGGAGCTGTGGCTGGTTTTTTTTGTTTTTGCGTTGCTGATCAAAGTACAGCTGGTTAAATGTGAGGTTAATTCAGGTTTACTGGGACTCATTGGCACTAAAGCATATTCAAT